CTTTAACTGCCATGGTTCAATGCTATAGAATTCTGGGAACTGTAGTTTGTGGCGGCACCAGAGCTCTCTGACAGGGAGAGTTAAATGTCTCACAAAACTAAAAATCCTAGAATTCCATAGCATTGAGCCATGGCAGTCAAAGTGGTGTCAAAGTGGATTATTTCTGCAGTGCAGATGCAGCCCAAGTTGGGGGTCCTGGATGTAGACATTTGTGAGCCTGTGTGACACAGTGGTTTGAGTGTTGGACTATGACTCTGGAGACCAGGGTTCGATTCCCAGCTCTGCCATGTAAATCCAAAGGGTGACCTTGGGCAGGTCACACCCTCTCAGCCTCAGGGTAAGGCAATGGCAAACCTCCTCTGAACAAATCTTGCCAAGAAGCCCCCATGACAGGTTTGCCAGGGTCTTCATAAGTCGGAAATAACTTGAAGGCACACATCACCACCAACAATATATATATGGGCCTTCAAGTCGACTCCAATTTATTTTCGCCTATGAGTCTCCTTGCCAGCATTTCTTGAGACTTGAGGAACCTATTTTTTGACATACCTGACATATTTTCAAATATTCTTTCCATCCCTATATCCTTAAAACCTAGCCCTGCCTTCCTATATGTATGCATTGAGGACATACCTTTGCAACTGATAAACTTTCTTCATCCGCGTTGCCTGCATTCTCCTCCTTGCAACTCTGAGAAATTGGGTTGTTATTGTTTCTGGAGGAGGAAGAGGAAGGGAAAGGGGGAAAGAAAAGAAAATGGGTGTTCTGATTTTGCAGTTTTCCAAAGCCACAATAGCCCCAAATGCTTACAGTGACTTTAGTTTGGAGTAACTGAAAGTTTATGCTGCAATTTCTGTTGCAATTAATCTCAAAGGTGCTACAAGTTCCCTTTGCATTCTGATATTCCAAACTAACATGGCTATATCTTTGGATTTTAGTTGGGCAAGATGAGGGCAAACTCTTACCCGAGGGCAGAGCCTAAGGGGAAAAGTTACTTCTTACTTCTGAGGGATTGCAATTTCAGATTCCCCAAACAACATGAATATGCAGGTCAGGGAATTCTGGATGTTACGTCTCCTTCTCCAAAAATGCAATCTTTCCAAACTTCAAATTGAAGTCGACAAGCAAATCAAACTGGATACCAAAAGCTTTTCCATGGCCCAAATACGGTATTTTGCTGGCAAGCAAAAATATTTCTATTTAAGCAGGCTTTTTAACATATAATAGGACAGAGTGAGTTTTTTATATATATAATATCATATGATTTGTGATCATGTGTCCTCTAGAATGAATACTGTTTCCTATAAGGGTGGGTTTATGATCTTCAGATCATACAATCGATAAACAAACAATGAAGCCAGATGGGAAAGAATCAACTTATTGCAACCAATGTTAGGAGAAGTGTAGGAGAATAGGAAGTACGACTTGAAAGTGGGAAGGAAGGAATGAGAAAATGTGTGAAAGAAGGAGACTAACTTGAAAGAGTAAAGACGGAGAAGTAAATAATGATGGTTACATTGATGATATTAAGACTTTATGACATCTGCACTAAACTGTTGCATGTAACAAGAATGTATATAATGTCACTTCTTTCTTTCTTTTAATTTATTTTAAAACTCAATAAAGTTTTTTTTTTAATGAAAGAAAGAAAGAAAGAAAGAAAGAAAGAAAGAAAGAAAGAAAGAAAGAAAGAAAGCCCTCTGGAAGGAATTTAGATTTCCTAGGAAGGTATGTAGCTTTGATTTGGGTAGGTCCTGCATCATCATTATC